CAGTGCTAGGACTGTAGTATAACTCCCCCTTCTCCTGGTCAAACAGTAAGTGATTTGGTGGGTGGCAGAGGAAGAAAAATGAAGCAAGAATACTTGGATTCTGGCTGGGTCACTTGATAGGTGCTCCAACAGAGCTGGGACAATTGCAAAACAGTGCTGTGAGCACAAAACTGGCTAGCAAAGAACTTTTAATGTTAGGTTCAGGTTTACAAATCTGGCTTTCATGTAGCTTGCTGCCAAAGCGTGCTTTGAGCAAAGAGCTCTATTAGAGTGATGTTCAGTGAGGGGAAGGTGTTAAAATATTATTTTAGGGGATCACTGTCTCACACAAGTTTGAGAACTTCTCGGTTAACCCGAGGACTGCTAAAATGGGCCTTTTAAATCTTGTCAACAAGAGAGATTCCCGAACCTCTATTGGAAACCAGGGACACACTTCAGGAGAGGCCCCAAATTTTGAGAAGCTCTTGTTTAGGCCAAGAATAAGATTCCCAACAAGATCTATGGCCCAGACAATTCCTAACTTGCTTTGGTCCCTGTTCAGTTCTCTTCTCTAGGCACGCCAACCAAAGATAATTATAGAAATGTTCACATATGGACTTCACATATATTTCCCTGTCTCTGCTATTCATAGACCTACACAGGAATCAAATCCTCCCCCCTCCCACACCCTTTGGCTTCAGGATTTCACTTAAACCTTGCCTACAAGCTATCGAACATACCGTTTCCCCGAAAACCTTCTTTAATGCATTTTGAAAATGGCAGGTTTGAGGCTTGCCAGCTATCATTTTAGGAACTAAATCCTGAAATCTTTGTATATTTGTATATTTACTCCCATTTTTGTGTTCAGATACTTTAGGAACAAGAACTTTGCTTCCTTACCTGCTTTCAAATAAAATCAGGTAACTGGCAGATCAAAAAGGCACAGAAGCATGGTAAAATGTTGAAACCAAACTGTACAAACTCTGCAAACTAGAAAGCAATTGCAACTGAAGCTATTTGATCAGTGAGCAAAGTATGTTTATTAAACCAGTTGTGCACAGAACATATACATTCCCAAATAATTCTGACGAGACTGGAGGAAATGCTCAAGGTGTATACATGAACTTTTTTAATATATTTATATATGTGTGTGTGTAACAAAGCATTTGGCCTCAGTCTCCAACATAACAAGATGCAAAAGGCAGATATTGGCACATCAACTGTAATTCCAAATGTGTTCAAGCTGATCAGGAATATAAGGCCATAGTTGCAAAACATGGAATTCCCTGCAAATGAATGAATAGGGCACAGACAGCTTTATATTGTTTTATATACAGGGGAGGGAAAACATATAAAATGAGCTTTTATTTGTGTTACTTACAGGGATTTTGGAGAGAGCTCTACTTATCAAGTGATAAAATATACAGCAGAAGAAGTTAGCTCTGTTTTATTAGCATTCTTCTCCTTCCAAATATTCTTGCTTTCAGCATTTCAAGGGAAGCAGCAGCAAATCTGCATAGCTAAATGGGATTTTAATTGCATCCAGTGTCTGAACTGCTGTACAAGACCTGAATTTAGACTGAGGGTCTCTCTCATGGTTAGCTTTTGCTCTACAGACTGAGTTGTAACTAGCACTTTTTTTTAATCACTTCCATTTAGTGGTAGCAAAGCTGCAAGGTATTTTAGGAAATGGAACAGAAGATGGAATCAGCTGGAAAGAGGACCAGCCAGTTATAATTCTGACATTCCCATAATCCTGCCCCCGAAAGGTGCTGCCCTGGGATGACTTCTGGGGGAATTATGGGAAGGAAAGTCAACCTAACATCCTAGATCAGTGTTTCTCAACCTTAGCAACTTTGAAGATGTGTGGACTTCAATTCCCCGAATTCCCCAGCCAAGAGTTGAAGTCCACACATCTTAAAGTTGCTAAGGTTGAGAAACACTGTCCTAGACCAGGGGAGGGGAACCTTGGCTCTTTTATGACTTATGGACTTCAACTCCCAGAATTCCTGAGCCAGCATGGCTGGCTCAGGAATTCTGGGAGTTAAAGTCCACAAGTCATAAAAGAGCCAAGGTTCCCCACCCTTGTCCTAGACCAAGGTTCTAAACTTCCTCTCACGTCCGCAATGTAATAGGAGATGCAATTTCACCCACCCCTTGGTATGTGCTTTCCAAATTTAGGCCAAAGGGTCTCTCTGGAATACTTTCACCGAACCCTCACGAAGATTCATTCAATGTTGGTCCAAGATTTGTGTGCCAAGAGATCAATTTTCACAGCTAGGATGGACAGAACCAACAATGTTGCCAAACTGGAAGTCCACTTCCTTCAGCACCACCAACTGGCCAAACAAGGAATTGCAGCTATCCAGGAAAACTAAGATTACCTAGCTAAATGACTATCGTGTTTAGTGACCGTTTGAAGTTTCAACGGCACTGAAAGAGTCATTTTACATCAATCCTTGAATCTACAACTGTTGCACTGTCCCATAGTCACCTGCACACTTCACTACCAGCTTCCAATAAGAAGAAGCCAGCAATAAAATTGCAAGTTGTGATCATGTCATGTCTCTCTTAACAGCTGAATGGAAAGTGAACACTGTAAGCCAGGGGTCTTCAAACTTGGCTGGCTGGCTCAGGAATTCTGGGAGTTGAAGTCCACAAGTCATAAAAGGGCCAAGTTTGAAGACCCCTGTCCTATACCATTTCAGACAAATGTTTGTCCAAACACTACGCCGTCCCATTCACCCAACTGTATATTCTGCTCAAGCCAGGAACAAACAGATAGTACGACAAGTCTGTTAACAAGCGTAATGATGACACTGACATGACAATGAGTTTTCCCCTAAACTCCCTAATGTTGGCGAAACACTATTTTTAATAAGTATGCTTGTAGTCCTAGCTTTCACTGTCCTGCAGTAAAATTAAGAACAGCGATTTCCCCCCCCCCCACTGGGACATGAGAATAAGATGGATTTTACAAAAGATTGATCTTATATAGACTACTGGGGGGGGGCAGATTAGGTGCTGTCCCTAACAAAATATAAAAATTGAAGGTTTAACTGCAACATCTTACCATGAAAATAATTGTAAATGAAATAAAGACAATGAAGAAAGTAAATGCAAATTATATTAAAAGGGGAGGAAAAAATCATACAAGCACATCTAGGCATGAATAGGAATCAGAGCAAAAACTGATACATGGCTGATCACATTGTCCATTATTTTAAGAATCAATCCAAAGAACACACACATGTTCTTTACGTAAGTTTGCAATCAGAAACTTTTGTGGATTTCCACAACCATGGTGGAATACCTTGGCAAAGCAAGTTGGTAATAAAGGCACATCCAAGGCAACAAAACAGCAGCGAATGGGGCAAATTCATACATGGCAGAATGAGAAACATGATTAAAGTTAGCATAAATGGACTGATAATATTACCTAGTGTGGTAATGAAACGTCTTGCAAGAAAACCACCATGCTCAGAGAGCACCAAGGACCCCACACAATTCAACCTTGAGCTACAAATATCCTCTTCTATTGGTAGTTAGAATAAAAAATAAAAATCATGCAAGATACATTTTCACTTCCAGAGATTCTGTCTCTTCATTTCTGGTATTTGACATCATGACAAACAGAACCTCAACTTCTAGCCAATTAAAAAAAAAATTTAAAGCCAAATATTTGGATGATGGTATTAAAACCAAGATCTCTGGAAAAATGTGCCAGAAAAACCATCCCCTCCAAACCTCACACCAAATTCTGCAATCACAACCAGAAAATATAGGAGATGACCAGGCTGAGCTGGAGGGAGGGGTCAAACACACCATCAGTCTTGAGTCCCTTTGTGCCCACAAGAAATCTAAGTCCAGCCCATCTTGAATTCCTTCCCCTTGGCCGTTAATAGTTCAGATTCTTGCAGAGAGCTCAAGATTACAATAAATCTTTAAACCCATTTGAACTGTCTGGATCTCCTGAATTTCCTGGTGCTTGACAGAAAAAAAGCAATTGTCAACTCCTTCACAGTGTGATTTCTCTCCCCCCCCCCATGCTTCTGTACAGTTTATATAAAGCCCTGATTCTTTGGCATATAGATTTTGCTTTGGGTTGGATCGAATATTTTTTTAAGAGGAAAAAGCATAAATTCACAGCCTTGAGTGATGCTGATCATTATTTTACAGGATGTCTTGTCTGCCAGAAGGACTAGAAATTAAACTCTTGTTTAGAATCCCTTTCAACAAATTGGAAGCCACGATCAGACATCATCACCTTTCCTGCAGGTTCCTTGGATTCATCAGCAGAATTCACTGCCATCCTGCACCATTATTTTTCAGCCACGCTAAGCAAGTGAGTGACATTTGAGGAGACCCCTTCCAGCTTGTGAAAAGAAGCAGAGTAGTCCTAATCTGAATTCAAGTGTCATTAACAAGCTAATTAAATACAATCTGCAAGATCACTGCCCATGGGTTTCACAACGTTCAACAATATTCAGGATTACAACTCAGTGGCCTATTTTATTGCAGTTGCACCAAGGCTATGAGAGGGGTTGTGGTGGCTGTGGAGCTTCAAGCTGTGCAGCCGCTTTGGGGAACCTGGGGCCCTTTAACTACATAACATGCAATATGCTCACAAGGGCCACATTAGCCAAGTCTGTTGGGTTTGTAGATAAGAATATTGGGGAGGGGGCAGGAAGACCAACTACCAGCATTGTAAGTCATCTAGCTTTAAAGAACTCCCAGAGTTACGGTTGATGTAAACCGATTGCAAAGCCCAGGCATTTATGCATTCTGGACAGCAGTCAGAAAGGCAAGATCAGTATAAAACTGGATGCTTTAAGCGCAACTCCCTTCTGGGGAATCCAAAGGTAGGATCCTAAGCATGCTTACTTGACAGTCAGTCCCACTGAATTCAGGGGGGGGACTTCCTTCTAAGAAGCAGACGCTGATAGGGGTGGCACTTCATATCAAGCGGGACAACTCAACCCTAATCACACACATGACAAACTGCCTTTGATCAATTGAAATGCTGCCCACTCAATCTTTTATTAACATGGTGGAGCTTTCGAACCCAAGACAGCAAAATCCCCTTTTTCAATGCAGAGAACAAGCTTTCATGCAGCGTAATGGTCCTCATGCATGGTGTCACTTTCGGTTCTGTCCTCGGCATGGGAGCAAAAACAAAACATGAAACCCAAAAGGGAAACCCATCAATTTTTCACACAACAATTACACAGTGGAGGAGGGAGGAGAGGGAAGGTAACAGCCACGAGGATCATCCTGAGGCGAGAGGTGCTTTTCCATACCAAAGGCCTTTTCAGACTCTTCACATCCCTGAAGGAGACGGAGAACTGGTGTCGTTTGGAGAAGCGCTGGAGGGAGGCTTATGTAGGTTAGTTTCCTTGTAGACAAACCAAGCGTTGCCAGCCCACAGAATCAGGTTGAGGAAGCCAACAACCTAAGAGGAAGAAGAACGTGGGAAAGGTAAAATTTTTAGGCCTAAGCAGCCCACTTTATTTCAAATGGATTGGATGATCCAGCAGAAAATTGAAGCAAAGGCTTTGATTCCAGCTTCCGAAAGTGGTGGAAATGTATTATTCACTACCTCCAAACAATATATTTGACACACGATATTGTATAGTTCAGGGGTAGGCAACCTTGGCTCTTTTATGACTTGTGGACTTCAACTCCCAGAATTCCTGAGCCAGCCATGCTGAGGGGAAAGGGAGACGTTTTCGTGCTGAGCCATGCTGGCTCAGGAATTCTGGGAGTTGAAGTCCACGAGTCATAAAAGAGCCAAGGTTGCCTACCCCTGGTATAGTTGAATGTTATCACACATTAGGATTACAGGTAATTCTCAACTCGCAACCATTCATTTAGTGAGTATTTGAAGTTACGATGGCAGTGAAAAAACTGACTTACAGCTAGTCCTCGCACTTACAACCGTCTGTCATGCAATCAAAATTCAGCCGCCAGATAACCAGAATGTATTCTTAATAGCAGAATTCTGGGGTCATGTGATCACCATTTGCGACTTTCCCAGCAGACTTCCAAAAAGCAAAGTCAACTGGAGAAACCAGATTCGTTTAACGACCATGTCATTTGCTAACAACCATGGTAAAAAGCTCATAAAATTGGGTGTGACTCAGTTAATGCCCACATGGCTTAGTGACAAAAGTTCCAGTCTGAATTGTGGTCATAAGTCAAGGACTACTCATACAATTTTAAAGTTGTGCTTTTGGGAATCACAATAGATACTGCATGGATGTTATAAAAGCAATGTTTTTCAAACTTAGCAATATTAATATGCGTGGACTTCAACTCCCAGAATCCTCCAGCCCCATCTTCAAACTGCCAAATTTGAAAAACACTGTTATAAAAGTACAGGTAGTCCTTGACTTACAACAGTTTGTTTAATGACTGTCCAAAGTTACAATGGCATTGAAAAAAAGTGACTTATGACAGTTTTTCACACTTAACGACCACTGCTGCATCCCCATGGTCATAGATCAAAATTCAGACGCTTGGCAACTGACTCATATTTATGACAGTCACAGCCTCCCAAAGCTCCTGAGATCCCCTTTTGTGACTTTCTGATGAGATTCACTTAACAATTGTGTTACTAATTTCACAGTGATTCACTTAACAATCGTGGCAAGAAAAGTTGTAAAATGGGACAAAACTCACTTAACAAATGTCTCACTTAGCAGCAGAAATTCTGGGCTCAATTGTGGTCATAAGCAGATGACTACCAGTATTGAAAGATAGCAGCTAGGTTTTTGATACCGAGTTGTTTGAATTAAGGGAAAAAGGCAAAGTGACCCAAAACTGGAGATCATTGACCAAATATCCCAGTGAGCAAAATTCACACCTCTGAAATAACCGCCTGTGTATTTCCAGGGGTGAACAAACCATGGTTTGCATAAGGTCCCTGAAGCACCACAATGAGGCATCTTCACTTCCCCAGAACTGCATGACCAACATTTGGTAACAGAGGGTTAAAAATGCGTGGCACGTTTGCCAACTGTTTCACATCAGGAAACAAAACTAAGATATGCCAGTAAGATATCCATGGGTTGCAATAGGTTCAGCCCATGGAAAGCAGTTAACAATAAAAATGGAAAGGCTCAGAATATGCTCCCCCTAAAAATAAAATTGGCTCCCTTCATTTGTATGACATTTTGACAACATGGCCCTCCTGGGTCTTGCATGAGCTGCTGGAATCCGTGCCAAAAAAAATGTGTCTCCAGTTACAAAAAGTTGTGATGAATGTTATCTGCTTTAGCCATGGCATTTCATCCTGGTCACCTTCCAGAGAAATTTCCCTACCACGTTTTCCCTTAATATTCCTGATTTTATAAAACAAACATCTCCTTGATTTCTTTTCTAACTCAAAAGGACTCTAAGCTTTTATTCGAGAACATATATTTTTTATTTTACTTGTAAAATTTATCAGCTGCCCATCTTGCCTCGAGGTAATTCTGGGCAGCTTACAATCATAAAAGATAAAATATATAAATTAAAAACATAAGTTAGTACAAAATGTCAAACATGCAGCACAATAAAAAGGTGGGGAGGGGGGAGCAGGATGGTGGGGGAGATGGGATCTGTTCTTAATCGATCCACCATCTCCACTAATATAGACAAAATATAAAAACAAAATCAAACGGCTGAAAGTTCTGCCTGAAAAGGGAACATGTCTAAGCAAAAGGGCTCTTTTGCAATGGAACACATTTTGATGTACGCAACAACATACAGTGCCAAAGACAGACTGCCCCATCTTGAAATTCTGTCTTGCAGAAGAAAACACACAAGGCATCCCAAAGGAGTGTGTGGCAATGCAGAAAATGAGATACTAAATCCTCACGGAGAGAAATCCATTTGAACCGCTGATAATTGAAAGATCCAGCAGAAGCATTTTCATTTTGAACAGACAGGTAGTTCTCAATTTAGGACCGTAATGGAGCCTGCCAATTATGGCTGTTACGTCGGGACAGTCTTAAAGCAGGCCATCACGTGTCTGACCCTATTTTACAGACTTTTTCATAGATTTGCAGTTGTTAAGCAAATCACCATGGTCGTTAAGTGAACACTATGTTAGTTAAGTGAACCCATCGTTTTAGCCGAAAACTGGAAGTAAAGGCCGGTTTTCAGCAAAAAATGTCTCAAACTGCGGTCATGCGACTTACAGGATACTGCAAATAACTATAATTGCAAGCCATTTGAAATGCAATCACGTGACCGCGGGAGTGGAGGTGGGACAGCCACTGGAACTTCAAAACTGGACTGTAAATATCTTTTGGGAGGGTCAATTGTAAGTCTGAAAGGTCACTAAGTGACCAGTTGCAAGTTGGGGACTGCTTGTATAGTATTTCCTACAAAAGTCACGCCCCCTTTCCAAAACATAGTTCTAAAAATTTTAGAACACAAAATTCTCAAAGTTGAGCGTATGGAACCTAGCCAATTTTCATATTTCTCATCATGCCCTAAGAAGTTGTGTATGAATTCAATTTTCAAGCATGCCCAAACATGCTCTAGTAGTATGAAACACACCTCAGAGAGGCATGTTCCTAAATAAATACAAAGAACGCTTATTT